CCCCCCCCCCCCCCCCCGTCGTCGTCATGCACACATAAGGGCTAAACTACTCACTTCTCGGTAGAAGTCCGCGTCGAAGTCCTGAATCTTGGCATGGTGAGCCTCCACCTTGCAGCCCTTCACCCTCGCCATGATAGCCTCTGCTGCAACCGTCGCTTTCGGGCGCCCGACGTCCTTCTGTCGGAACAGAAACTGCCTGTACCATCCATCCACACAAACGTGCGGCGCGGTTGTGCGATAGCAAATACAAGCACAGATAAGTCTACACACGCTTTCGCGTTCTCAAGCTTCGCTCCGTGATGTAAGGACGGATGGATTTTCACGCTTACAAACGGCCAGCGCGGTCGTTCATACTCGTTCGTGCGGTTGGAAAACCGAATAACGCATCAATCCTTGGGTGGGTCCCCCGTTCCTTGCACGTATGTAGGATTGGTTGCTTTCTTTCTCTCAACCTCTCGTGTGGCTGGAACCTGATACCCGGCGGAGCCTTGACTGACTACGTGCTAGAGGCTGGGAGTCTGGGAGTGAACTGACTCGATAGGGGGCGTCAGCCTTGTTCACGTGCTCACAACCCGTAACGCTCTCGGCGTTCATCCCATCCAAGCCCAGCTGTCGACGCACCCCCCCCGGAGTGACCACGTGCAGTCACTGAAAAAAAAACGTGCACCTGCTGCGACTGCTAAATAGACGCTGGGGAGGTCATCCCCACCTATTGAGGTTGGAGACATCGATCGAGTCCATGTCGATGACGGTGATATCGGTGATGGCAGAGAGGGCGAGGTCCTTGAGCAGTTCGCAGCCCAAGCCACCGGCGCCAATGACGAGAACCTTGAGCTCCTCCTCCAGCAACTCCGCCATCTTGCAAAGTGCAAAGGATTGATTGAGCCAATGTTAATGTTTTCCCAGTTTCGATTCGGCGCAAGATTGCGCTGATCGGGCAATAGGCGGCAGGGTCGGAAGGGCGCGTGTCTTCCATTTCCAAAGCGACACATACCACCAAAGCTCCATGACAAAAGACCAAACCTCTGCTGTATTGGTGGTCAATCTACTACTACTTTAGGAATCTAGGCGAACAAACAATGGTTCAGAAGTCAACGGCTACGAGCTTCCAGCGACTACAACAGGAACTCGGCCGTCTAGAGAGCCCCCGTCTCCAGCTCCCCGGCGTTTGCGCTGCTTCGTTGATTATATCTCTCACATTTTCGAACGGTTCGAATTCTCCCACAGCAAGCTGACCGGTCTCGTTGCCGAACGGCGAGGGTCGAGAGACGAGCTTCTCGAGCGCTCTCCAGCGTTGACTCGGGTCCTCCTCGACCTCTTGCCCCTGTCCCCTCTGCTGCTGCTGCCCTTCTCGAGAGCGGTCGGCGCCGTTGGCGTCATGGTCGGTGTCGGTGCTAACGTCGGTGACTTCCGTGGTGGATGTCCTGTGGCTGTCGACCAGCATCGGCTCTACGGCGTTCACGGACACTTGTTCGCCACTGTTGGCGTTTTCTGAGGTATGCAGTATCACGTACAAGAGGACAACACACGCGGTACGCGTTAATCCGGAGAAATGTCTAGCGTCCCCCACGACGGACTCCAGATCATGACCTATGATGAACATACTCAGTTTTAAAGCGCATTGAGACCGACGAAATTTCATAGTCCGCCGAGCCAGGTCGATGCTAAGTTACGGTAGCATGCGAACAATCGAACAGTGACCACGCCGGGGTACAGCAGTATGGATTGAGCTTCTCGTGAAGTTTCAAGTCTGGACCTGTTTTCATGTTTATTTGGAGAGAGACACGCATCCTCGTCACGCGTGTATTTATGTACGGGCGTGGCCTGGAGGGAGAGCCTGTGCACGTCCAACAGAAGGCGTTTCTCCATGTCAGTGCTGCAACAAACAACGCGATCGGAGCCACAGCTGGTTTGAAAGTTTGAAAAACAATGCACTTGATCTTGTGGCGCAGGCTCATCTTTCTCGCAACAGCAGTTACATCGTGAGGACGCAAACCCGTGTGCTTAGTAGTGCTTGGCAGCAGTGGTCCGCCTGATCGAGTCGCACGCTAGTACTTCAAATGCATATGCTGTGCGAAGTTATCATAGCACATGAATTTGCCGCGGGTCTCCGGCATGCAGCCACAGCAGCACGGCGATTGCTATGCGAAGTGCGTCCTCTCGCGCTTGGAGTGTGTAGATACGCTGTCGGACTACATGCCAAAGCATCAAAGGATGCAACAGAGACTACAGCAGTACGCCAGACACCGAATTCTCAAACCCAAAGTAAACGCAACTTATGTTGAGGATGAAACTAGGGAAAGAAGTAAACGCAACTCGCAACGAAACGCACAAGCACGACAAGAGACACGAGAAAGCGAGAGAGCGGAGAGAGAGACTTCGCTCACTCACTTCGTTCGCCAAGAGAGAGAAGGGAGAAAAAACAAACACAAAAACAAGTACGGAGTAGGAGTGTTTCACGTCGGGGGCACGCAGAGACCAATCAGGCTCACCATCGGCCGTGCTGTTTTCCATTAACTTTCTTTTCATCACAACTTTGCCCACAAGGTGTGCGGTAAGTCGTGGAATGTTGCTGCTGCGCCGCTGCTGGAGGGTGCGGATGATGCGGTAAGCTAGGGGGGTACGTGAATGATCATCGAGACGAGCACGGGAGCTTTTTTTGAACTCATTCCTGTTGCGTGCGCCCCTATCGTGTGCTGCTGTGCTGTTCTTGATGCTGCTGTTGCTGTCAGGGTCATCCAGAGGGTCCTCTCTCTCACACACCCCTCTTTGCGCTGCCACACCATGGCACCAGCTTCGACGCTTGTTTCTCTCGCAGGTGCAATAGTAGTTGCGTTTCTAACAAGTGCCTCCGCATTTGTTTCGACTTGCAGCTCGACGTCAGCACTTCAGCTGTTATCATGTCATCGGCGGCGAGGGTATCCTGCTGCTGCTGTATCGCCAGGGATGGCGATGAAAAGTCCTGTCCGGATGGCCTCCGATAGTGTGGCAGAAGTGAAGTCTAAGGTGCTGCAGCTCGCGGCGTCCATGGACAGAGGTGGCATGGCAAACCCAGGCAAGTGCCAATGTCAACCTGCGAACACGTAGCGATCTTTCCGCGATGCTGTTGGCTTCTGACTGGACGGTTTCCTTTTTACGACTACAAAAATACTGCTGCACATGCATCAATGGGCGAAACAACAAGTAGTTCCTTCGAGGTTTCATCCCTTATCCCACCTTCCTCGCTTTCCGTGAACGGTCGCACAGTAGTATCAAAAAGAGTCCGACCTCAATGCCTGCAGTGCAAAAGCAATCATGTGGAGGGACCTCACAGAGCGAGAGGTCTGTCAATCCCCATCGATGCAATCGCCCGTGCTCGTGGTACGCAGTCCGCGTGGCCTATTTTGCAGGGATGTTCACAATGTGAAACCGCATCGCGGTGCGTTTTTTTGTAGCTTGACATGGTCACGGTGCGGTGCGGTGCGGTGCGGTGCGGTGCGGTGCGGTGTTTTTCATCTCGATATTTGACGGTGCGGTGCGGTGCGGTGCGTTTTTTTTCATCTCGGAATTTGACGGTGCGGTGGGGTGCTGTTCACCGTCGCACGGTTTTTCTCAATGACTGCGGTTTTTTCTACCCCGTGCCAAAATCCGCGCGAACCTCGGCCCTTGTCGACGGTGCACCGTCGAAGAACATCGCGGAGAATTCGGTTGTCCGTGACAAAATGACGGGGTCTCCATGATTATTATTTTTTTCGTGGAATACGTTAGGTTTAGTCCATTGAAATGAGACCGGCACGACAGATCCCGCGGCTTGCGGTCAGAAAACCCGAAAACCCCAGAGAAGGGAGAAGCTACTGATCATTTAATTCATTTTCCCAGTCACCATAGTTCCTACAACACGAGCTACATTCCTCGATGCTTCTACTCTTCATAACACTACTGTTGTTGTTGTTGGAATATGTATTCGAATATGTGAATGAACATCCTAGAAAATATGAAGAAAAAATCTGGCAGCACCACCAGGCAGGCGGCTCATGCCTGCCACGAACTACAACCCACGAATGCGTTGACGATGGTGCGTTGCACGCTGCGAAGTGTCTTCGGGGTGCCCCCAGTATGCGCGGCATCTGCAGCACCAGCAGAGCAGTGGTAGAACCACCGGGAGAAGGAGATTGACGCGTGGCGACCACCTCTACAAGAGGCTGGTCGCCATCGTCGGGGGGTGACTCCATCATAGCCGGGCGGAGTTGTGCACGGAGCGTATCGCAGCGGCGGTGTGTTTGTGGCAGGGTGTGTGGTGTTGGAACACGGTGTTGCGTGTTTGCTGGTTAAAAAATACTAAATCAATGTTCAATGTTCCTGGTGTGTGTGTCTGCACGACGAAACCGTGCCTTACTTGCGTTTTTTTCCGCGGTTTACTGCGGATTTTTTCGCGGTGTATTGCGGTTTTTGCTACGGGGTGGGGCAAACCGCACCGTATTAAAACCGCAACTACGATTAGGTATGAATCCTTACGGTGCGGTGCGGTGCGGTACGGTGCGGTGCGGTGCGGTGCGTTTTTTTTAATCTCGAAATATGACGGTGCGGTGCGGTGCGATTTTGTCGTACCACGGTGCGGTGCGGTGCGGTTTTTGTGCATCTCGGTATTTGACGGTGCGGTGCGGTGCGGTGCGATGCGGTGTGGTTTTTTTCATCTCCAAATGTTAAGCCGCACCGCACCGCATCGCACCGTCGAGAAAAGCCGCACCGTGAACATCCCTGCTATTTTGTTCTTTGGTTGGGCAGCTACGGCTAATTTTTCACACGGTACACCCGCACCGGGGGAGGCATTGAAGTATTTTCTACCCCACCGATGGGGTGGTGGGGTACAGAAGCCTTACTTACCCAAGCACCTGGACCTCGCCCCCTGCAGACTCGAGTTACTGGACACAAACATTTCTTGCAACGTACGACCCAGGGCTATGTCTACCGTGAGACCCATCGCATGTCATCGTAATCCCGAAACAGTCGAGGTTAGGTGCTGCCAAGGCGGGTGGGGGAAACACTAGCGGGAAAAATAGCCGGACTTGCCCCGTCACGCGCATCTCGCCCTGCAAGACTCGAATCGAAGCAGCACAGTTGCAGCAGCGAGCGGGCAACAGCTGAGGGGGGGGAGGTATACTCATAGTCGTGCATGCCGTAGTCGTTAGACCATTGACCTCGCATCCCTACAAAGTCGGGACGGAGCACGCTGGGCTCCCACCGGACCAGCTGAGGGAGGGTGGGGGTGGCAAGTAACCCCTGTGCACAGCCCCGAACACGTGCAGTGGAAACCGAACACTGCCTTCTCTCTTCTTGTAGACAGGCTTTTCTTCAACAATACTCCTGTAGTGGGTCACTGCTGCCTGTCGCTCTACAACAATACAACAAGTATGTAGTGGGTCATGGAAGTGTGTTGGTGCATTGCGTTGCTATCGTGGGACCCACCGTGAAGCCGGAGTGAATCAGGTTACATGGGTGCTTCCGTACCCTGTGGGCACACAATCAAAATTGGACATGACCTATGTGCGCCACCGGTGGGGAAAATAGCCTGATTTCCCCACCACCTTCATCGCGGCGTGCAAGACTCGAATCGCGCCACAAGGCCATGGTAAGAGTGTGTGCTTGATACACACACAGCGCACAGCAGCGGGGAGTAACTGGAAGGGGAAACAATTCAACAATTAGAATTCCCTGCGCAAGGCCCTGCACACGTCATGCGTAAACTGTGTAAACCCGAACACTGTTTTCTTCTTTTCTACACTTTTTCTTTGCACACAACTAGCCGCCGCACTGTTGTGCAGGGCAATGCTGATCATGTGACTAAAATCTACCTATTGGTGATGAGACCCACTGGAAAATCAACACGCTTGGATCTCACTGCCAGGGCTTGTTATAGCTGCTTGAACCACGCCTACCGTAGCATAAATCAGAGCACAAACGTGACAAGAGACTCTTTGTCTGCCTTGCGCCCTTCGCCCCGACCCTCGCGTTCGCACGTTGCAGGCGTATCGCACGCCTACTTGGGGACCAAGGACGACATGCGGCTCCTGGTGGAATCGCTCGCGCAGCTAGACCCAGTCAACAAGCCGCTCACCGCTACGGAGCTCAGCGGCCGCTGGGAGTTGGTTTACACCACGGTCGAGCTTTTCCGCGCATCCCCTTTCTTCCAAATGGTGAGGGCTCGAAGGGGGTGACGGGAGAGGGTTGAGGCAGGAAGGAAAAGGAAAAGGACATAGACTAATGTACAAAGTACGGAGGGAAAAGGGACCGAGGCGTTCCTCGCTTTCCTCCAAGGTCAATCGGCCATCTACAAGTTGTGTCATTTGTCCTGATGCCATGCCATGATGTGGTAGTGTGGTAGTGATGATGCACCAAGTGTGACCCCCGGTGAGAGGTATGGCTGCGTCTCCGTCGGTGGACGACGAAAATTTTGCACCCCAAGAACCGCCTCTTTATGGTGTCCTTTGTACTGTACTTGTCACCTTGTTCAACCTCGAATGGCTGGTTCGTCTCCCTTTCCAGTGCACTTTCACAGACAGAAATTGATGTAGGTTCGCGTTACAGCGAGGGACGAAGAGTGCATGCAACTCCGGCTCCAGACCAACAGGTTCAGTTCCGCGGCTGACGTATGTCTATCACGCGTATCGCAACACGTACATGTACTTTAGGTGGAGGCCGGCTACGACGATCCCGAAAAGTCCAACTTGTTCTTCAAGCTCCACCAGCTTCAGACCGGATCTTGGGGTGCTAGCAAAATCGGCCGAGTCACACAGGTACAGACGGACGAGGCGGTTCGGGGAGATGTTTCCTGTGTAGATAGGATGTGTGCTCGAGATCCTGAGAACGTACCCCTCGGCCTCCCTTGCACCTCGTTTCCCGCTATTTGTCTTTCTGGGCCCACCGGCCGCGTCACCAAGCGGACAGGTCGTTCGAAATGCTGCCAGCCAGGCGCGAGATAACGTAGACGGTACAAACGCCATCCATTCAGCGCGCTGCTCGAACTACCCTTGATGTTCTTTCTGCCCGTAGGGCCTTCAAATTGTACCAACTCCTCTATATTCGAATTGTGTGCTCGTGCCCTTGTTTGACTCACAACTTTTTCCTTCCCGCCCCCTCCCCACGCTTCCGTCGGACATGACCGATTTTCCACAACGACACCGATACCTCTATCTACTGTGCCCTTGTAGACCTTGGACCTCATCGATTCGGTCCCGCCGAGCATAGAAGGGAGGGATGCGACCGCCACACCGGCAGCCGAAGCAGAAGCAGCGGCAGCAGGTGCGGTCGAGGGGAGCGACAAAGCGGGAGTAGTCGAGGACAACACCGACATGTCTGGCGGGAGCGGCTCCTTGGAGTCGGAGGTGAGACTGTGGGAGAACAACCAGACCTCGCACGAGTTGTGCGCTCTCCACCGTTTGTGTTGGGTTGTTGCCACTACTGCGTCCGATGGAGTGTACGGTGGTGGGTGTCCGGTGCTTGTTTCCTCGCCCGTTTAGCGGGATCAGCGCATAGCCGAGCGCGTGAAGTTGGCGTACGCTGAAGTCGTTTGGTACTGGTAGCGCAGCATTCACGGGTGTGTTACGATCGGTAAGGCAGGCGCACTTGGTACACTCACGCAGTTGTGCAACGTCGGGACGCTTGTTGGGCTTTCGGTCTTGGGGGGGAGGGGGGGTGTACTCATAGTCGTGCATGCCGTAGTCGTTAGACCATTGACCTCGCATCCCTACAAAGCCGGGACGGAGCACGCCGGGTTCTCACCGGACCAGGCTCTCACATCACCAAGCGCGAAGCGCCGTGAGATATTCGGCGAGTCGCATGAAGGGTGCGCTGCATCCTGCTAAGGGTGTTCGGCATCTTGTGCTTACTTCCTTGCGTACGGATGACAGCTGCGTATGAATTAATTTATTTTCTGGTGCTTTCACTTCCAGAGACAGTTGTAAGCACTGTGTAACTGCCTCGAGGGTGCTTGACCATTTTAACACAACGTGGTGCGATCATCCCCCTTGCGCGGAGTGAGGGTTCTCCACCCCGCACAACATGATCTACTCGACCACCATTATGGTTACCGCCAAAAAAAAAACCGGAGGTAAAAAAAAACCCCGGTAACCTGGTTGCCGAGTTCACGAAGTGAATTGGCTTGTTTTACAACGTCGTTGCCAAGCGACGAAAACCCAATCCCGATGGCAAACACCGAGGGGGGGCGGGGGAGTAGTAAAATACAATACCCCGTACTCCTTAGCAGTCTTTGATCCTCTGCTCGTTGGCTTGGCGCAGAGGTTGTCCATTCGTGGCGCCTACCATAGCTGTCCGGAGGCAAGCAAATCCTGCTCATTCCTGTGTAGCCTGCGTCTGTTGACAGAACGCAAAACCCGTGCCATTGCTATCACCACTGCCTTTCCTCCTAGAATATGACAGCCTTGTGTTTCCTGACATTTTGCGTACGCCCCGAACCGCACTCCCGCTCACGTTCTATTTTCCGCGCATCTGACTCTTCTGAGCCTACCCTCTTCTGTGCCTGAAGGTGGATTTGATAATTCTGCCGCTGACATCCGTGCCGCTGGTGGGTTTCTGGAAGCTCCTGCCGACGTTCGGGGGATGCATCGCCACTAAGGCCAAGTGTTCTCTTGCGGGGGACAACAATGAAGTGGTTCAGGTCCGTGAGCACGCGTGCGGAAGTAGCTTGTGTTGTTGTGTTTTTTTTTTCTTGATTGTGTTGTATGCATGTGTCCATGCTGTGTCCATTTATATGTCTATGTCTATGCCTATGTCTTTGCCTATGTCTGTGTCTGTGTTTTTGTCTGTCCATGTCTATGTCGATTTCTATATCTATTTCTTTGTATATGTCTACATTTATGTCTATGTCTATGTCTATGTCAATGTCTATGCCTATCTCTTCGACTCGGAGAGTCAAGGCGTGTTTGCCCATGTTGAATATCTTGCGATGCGGTTAGTATCGCGTAGTGCTCGTTTCCAGATGTCCCCGTGTGGCCGTAGTTGATGGCGTTCCAGGACATGAATGTGGTTGACGACTGCGGTTAGGTTCGCGCTTTGATACCATACCGCAGCAGAAACCTAGTAGCCGACATGCCGATATGCTGTGAGGTGTTGCTGGTGATGCGTCTCATTTGGTGCGTACCCTCGGAGGGAGCTGCATGTTCACGGACCAAACTGCACGTTGACGCTCGGTTGGCCTCAAGACCCTCCACGGGGGGTCATGACATGTGGCACCCTCGTTATCTCTATTTAGTTGTTTTCCACAATGTTACATCCCTCCCATGGTTTCGACGCCCGCCCACAGCTGATTGTGGAGTCGACAAAGCTCAAGGCAGTTGAGGACGTACCGCTGCTTCCCATCGCGGGCCCCCTCTTTGAGGGCATGGAATTTCCGACGGGGGAGGTGACCAAGAAGGTCAGGATAAAGAACGACCCGCCGGAGTGCTGAATGAAGTCTCTCCACGACTGAGATCCCTCGTGCCTGGTTAGATTGGACCAGTTGCAGTTCGGTCAACGCTTGCTGGTTCGAGGGTGAATTGAATCGAGAGGGCGCTGTCAACCATGGTACTTACGTTTTTGGTGGTTCCCAGTCCACGAAAGCAGCCCTGACCTACACCTTTCCCATGCCACCCACGCGTTTGTTCTCGTGTCATTTGAACCAACCGTGTCTCCCTTTTTGCCGTCTGGAGGTTGTGGTTGTGGTAATGTGCATGTAGTGGGATCGTGCTGTTGGTGCTGATTCCTCCTGATGCCGCATCGTCCAAGTTGACCATTTATGTTGTAGTGGTGGTCGTATTATGGTTGTTGGTGCACTCAATTTTGTAGTGCATCCTTGTTCCCGATATGCATATGTACGTTGATGCCACTTTTAGTTGGTGCTTTGCTGATGATCGTATTTTGACAGGTTATGGGGAACGTGCCGGTTACCAAGCAAACAGTAGTGTACATCGACGACACCTTGAGAGTGATGGAAGACAAGGCCGGCGAGCTTTACATTTATGCCAGGTGACCAAAGAGGATAGCCTAACAAAAACGCTCGTGCTAGTCAGTCCCGCCGTGCACGTTTTTTGTCTACCTGTGCCGCAAGCATCGTCGTTAACACAAGCATGTGTTGGGATGTAGTTGCGAGTGCAACATGTGCGTACCCGGCGTATCGCGGCAAGATGAAGTGCCGTCCCGAACCACCTGTTGGAGTCGTTAATTCTTGGGTGATTCGATCGAAGGGTAAATGGATTGCAGCCCATGTATTGAAGCTTGTCTATTTACCATGTACAGCGCTTCTCTTTTATTGTGAATTGCTGTGGTCTCTTTCCATGGACTCCCACTAACGCTGATGCTCGTCATGCCGCTCTCACAAGCGAATTCGTCCTGTCCGTTCCTGACGACCAAACCATTGCGCCCTCCCCGCCTGTTGCCTACTAATACAGGCCACTCAAGAGCTTCTAGGAACGGGATTGATGAATGAGTTCCGTCGCTGACCGAACATGGTGTAAGTGTAGAGGGGTTGGTGCGGTGCCTGTGCCTTGCAAGTTGTGGGTCTCGTAGACCGTCTCCAGACGGATTCATAACAAGTGCACCAGCAACTGGTCGATTTTTCCCGAGGTCGGCTAGGTGCAGTACTTGCTTTGGGCGCAACTGGAGCTGGGAATTTGTCCAATGGCGTCCACGTGTGTGTCGCCATATAGGCAGGCAGTCATCGCACCTCGATGTATAGAGTACATAGCGTACTGTGGGGTGTTGAATCTCTCTGCCGTTCCTTGGTTAGCTTGTAAAATGAAAATTGTTGTTTGTGGCCGAGATAGCGGCTAAGCTAGAAACAATCCTCGTTCCGAAATTATGTAAGTCCCCAAGTTTCCAAGTTTTCAGGATTTGATTATTGTTTGTCGGTGGTTGTGCCAATCCTAAAACGAAATCGCGTCCAGCGAAGGTTTTCGCGTGTGAAATTTCCAGCAGATGATTCGGCGCCAGGGTTCAACAACGGTTGCGCACCCCGAACTTTTCGTTCCTGCTACAGCGCTTGAGGTGGCTACGCTTTATGCGATTCATCGGCAAGTACAAAGACATAAAAACCAAAGCCAGTGTGAATTCGTTTAGGGCCTCCTGGGCAAAGAGCAGCTAGCAACATGCACCAGGCCCAGTAGCGCTCTACTGGTAAGCAACGTTCTTGGGTAGCCTCACAGCAGCAGGATCAATTTCGGTCTTCATGTGGTACCGATGTCTTTATGCTCTCTCCACAAACACGGGATAATTGGCTTCATGACGGAAAGCTTGCGAGTGATATCCTACAACGCACAAGACACTACGTTGGAGAGTGGACATGCGTGTGGTAAAAGAAACTCGTTTTACACCTAGGGCGCACGAGTAACATCCTGAGAGAGGCGGAGATGAGGTAAAGCAGCAGCATGTAGATACACAGCTCACGAAACGGGGTATGCGCCCAGACAACAATAACAAAACAACACTGAATGTCGGGTTTCTTTGATACGCAATTCCAGGACGAGGGCAGCAGCTCCTTGTGAGGTGGGGGTGCCTGGGGCCGTGGCGCCGTGGTTCCCCGAAACGTTGAGCCGCATGCGGCCTAATGCGGCCTAACTTATTCCGGTTCGCGAGGATGACGAAACGGACCAAAGGGCTGAAGGAAAAGATCGTACGATGCGTAGATCTCCCTTTCTAACATCAACGCAGGCGTTGATTGTTTTGAGTCTTTGCCCTCGAAGTCTCAGTGATCCCTGCTGACCGGGTCTAATGGAGCGTGTGAAAGTCCTCATGGGGATTCAGTGACGTCGGAACCAGCTGGACGGACAACAATGCTGTCCTACGGGTTTACCCTGTAGCTTCGTGCTCACGCTACCTCCGCACTTCGAGGCCTATGGATGACACCAGGGCACCACCCTCAGAACCTGCAAAAGGAGATCAAGAAAGCCTTCTCCCGGACGAAGATGTTGTCACGAAGCTTCAGCAAGGGCAAGCGGTTCAAAATGACGTCCGGGAAGCTTTGACCAGGTGACTACATGTGACTGCTGTGTGCATACAACAAGTAGCGAAAAGGACAGCCGCAAAATTCCGTGGGATATGATGAAAGGGCTCTCTATGCTATGTACATGTAGGGATCAGTGCGTTTACTTTGCAATACCGTTGATCTACATAAACTATTTATAGTAGCGGGTTTCCACGACAATATATCGGCCCATCAACCGTTCACTGGTGGCCAGATGCGTTGTGGGTAGGTTGGGGCACCAACTACAACCTGGGGGAGGAGGTTGCGGGATGTTGCAACCCAAAGTGTGAACATTACCCCGCATCTTAGATAGTGGCGTTCTCCCAATCAACACGGCGGGCTGCAAGCCTGAAGAACAAATGGGTTGAAGGTCGAGTTCGGTCTACCAACCTCCCCCACCAGGTTGTGGTTGGTGCCCAACCTGCCCCTCTGGCCAGCAGTATTGGTGCACAGAGGAAAGAGAGTGCTGCGCACTCTTCGCTACATATTCCGAACGAGTACTGCAGGTAGGGGGCCTAAGGGAGGGGAACCCTTCTGTGTGACCACGGGTTGGAGTATATGGCGCAGGTGCTGTGAGCAGTGATTTAAAGCGAAGACCAGAAAATGAAAAATATCCTTTGGTCAACGATGCGTTTCCGCCAAGATCTTCTTCGTACAGCGATGTGCAAGCATTGGCTGCAGGTGAGATGGCTTGAAAATGCGAAAAATGGAGAAGCAACGAAGACCCCGATACGCAAAGGCTAGTGTAACCTTGTTCATTCTTCTTTTTTGTTCTCTCTTGCCCACACACTCGGCCACGATGGCTCGACATGTGATGCAGACTGGCTTCGGCCCTGTCCTCGGTATCCGACAACGACACCATCATCCGCACCGTGAAGCATCGCTTTGACGAACGCAAGGAAGCGCGTGCCGACTTGTGGAGGGTGACTGAGGAGGCGAGGGCGGACAAGGAGAGGAGAGACAGCCTAAATCAGGCGCAGGCAGACAGAGAGTCAGCTCTTCAAAACGAGGTATGATGCGTAGAGTACTGCAAGTACCGGCTGTGACCTACAGATGGAGTTGGACTTTACGTTCGGAGTCCGTCGGAGAAAATAGTTAGTTCATGATGAGGGTTTCTACTTGGGAACAATGTGGGCGTCACAATGTCTTTGAGCTTGTCAACACGGTGGGGGCTATGGAAGATTGATCGTGCGAAAGTCAAATTTTTGGAGATAAACACTTGCTGCCAGTGAGGTCGTGTGCCTGCGACGCGCCGGCAGAATATCTGTTTCGACTACCAATTTTCTACGTGCAGTGCTTTTTGGGTTCACCCATCACGCGCAACTGCGAGCAACTGCGACAACCTTACGCGTGAAGCCCCCATCGCCGTGGCCAGGGGCACGCGCATCACAACATCAAATGTGCATTTCCCCCTACGCATTACAGGTGGAACGTCTAGAGCGCGCAGTGAAGATTGCTGAAAATACCTGCACACATACCCAACGAGAGGGGGAAAGAGCTGCTGCTGCCGCGGACAAAGAAATTTCCAGGTACATAAGAGATCAAGAGTATGTCATGGTGTCGTCAGACACAGAATTCGAACGCTGGGATTCCACTTAGTGGGTGGGTACTTGCCACTACTGTAGACTAGTACTCATTGTACTGTCTGCCTGGAGGTGTGGATTGTCCACGTGCACCCCAACGCTGTTTTCACATTCGTACATAGAAGAATGTCAAGGGGAAACCAACAGTCTCCTGCCTGGCTTACCTTCCGGATTTGCATGACCAGCTTTGAGCTACCCCGATAGTCGGTTCGGCGAGATGCACGGGTCATCGCCCACACCAACGATGTCGGTTGACCAGAAAGTAATGTTTGCTGTCTTCGTTTGCTATCCCCTCGCTGAAAGGCTCCGTGATAAGTCTAGCTCTGCGGAGAAGGACGCCGCAACATGGCAGCAGAGAGCCAACGCAGGGGAGTTGAGGTGCGAGCGTGCCTGCTAGACACACCGTCGTCGCGTTCGATGAAGAAAGATAGACAACAAGGTAACACGTTCATTCTGATGAAGTACAACAACAAGCCCAATGCTAGGAGCCCTTTACAGGCCTGGGTAGGAATGGCCAGTATGCTCTTCGAAGGGGGAGCTTGTACGATGAAACGGATAACACTTCGCCTTCATGTGCGTGGGCGTCAGCGCCTCGTTGCAATACACCATCAGTGCCGGTCGCTGCAGACACAGAAAATGCATTACTGTTATGGCGTACACGTCTTCCAACCGTGCTCCCACAACGGTTGGGGACAAACAACGACCAGGCTGGAATCAATGACAGCCGAGGTCAGCGCTCTCCACGAGGCAATGGCGGGCCTCCATGGCGAAATGGGGGCTGTCCAGCGAGAGCTAGACGGTGCCAAGACCTCACAAGACAAACTGGCAGCAGGTGGGCGGGCTGGGCGACAAGACTAAAGGGAGATGCCGTTCTACGAGCAGTCAATGCAGATATTCCATTCATTGGAAACGAAGTCTTCATGCTAGGAACGTACGTAACACATAGAGTTTTCACCCGTGGACGCCACATCGACCTCAACCTAGGCCCTTGAAGGACAAGGCCTTGGAGTAGCTGTAGGGTTGCTGGGCGGAGCAATCAAGCGGTCGATATGGAGTTTCACCTCGATTCAAACTTTTTCCTTGCATGCCGGGCTACTCCATCTACTCCCTACTGTGAAACCGTCTCGCGTAGACCTCTCCCGGGCGGAGGGCCGGTACCGGAAATCCCAGGAGGCGTGTTCGTCAACCATTGCGAAGGCCAAGGACGCAGACAAGAGGCTGAGGAAAGAAACTGAAGAAAGAGAGCGGGTGTCCGCTGAGCTTGAGAAGTTGGTTCAGGTAGCTGGTCTACAGGTCAAGTGTGGGGCGCCAAGGAGTAGTTGATGCTGTTGTGTCAGCTTGCTTTGCTGAAGTAGAACTCGAGGGTGAGCTGACCCGAGCCGGCATGCGCCATTCGTTACCCGGCGCTGGTCTTGGTGTTCGCCATTTCTCTGTCGGGGGGATGCTCAGTAGGTTTCCACGCCGGGTGCGCCGATAGTAAGTTACGGGAGGCTTGTCGCCTGCCTTTCGACATGTATCTCGGCTGTCGTCCGCTCCGTTGATGACGTACTCATTTCGTGGAGAACAACAGCTCCAATATTCAAGCTGGTTTCAAAACGGCTCCGTATCAAGCCAAAGGGTGTTGCACCTACACTTGGTGAAGGCACGGGATATTCTCCTTCTCCCCGTGCCGTTGTTTCTCCCTTCGTGACGCAGGTGTCCAAGGAGGAAAAGACGAAGAATTTGACCCTTACGGCGGAAATCAACCGTCTCAAGGAGAGCGAAGGGGTGCACCGCAGCGGTAGTGACAAGCTCAACGCCACAAATAGGTGGGGATGCATAGCTGATGCACAACCGCTCTTTGCCAACCGTTCTTCTCCTGCTCGGATGCCCATCGCTCTCGATACCTCCTCTCTGATGCCTAAAACGGACAACCGACGGGCATGCCCAAACAGCATGGCATAAGTTCGTGCTACTTGAAGTTTGAGTGCCTTGAGACTTGCGTCTTTCGCTGGAAGAAGACTCCCCGACACCAACTTGGGAAGGAAGTACAACCTTCAAGCTTGTGCAAACCACTATGCCTCGGGGCTCAGTCAAGCAATAGACGAATCTCTAACCGCTGGGTAAGGGAGGACGGGTACTCTCAGAGGTAGTTCCTCCATCGCTCTCTCGGCATCTATGTACAACAGTTGCGGAGCACCGAACACTTGAAACAAGCCTTCAATACGCGTCAACCGCCTCTCTCAACTCAGTACAAATGAGAAACAGGCCGCCGAAAATGTAGATGTAGACAGATGGTCACCCGAAAAGCACAATAGGGACAAGTACATCGTAAGTCTACCTCTGATCGTGAACGACATCTAGTCCATAACTCCATGAGTCCACCACCGAAGTTCTCTCACAGGCCCTCTCTGCTCATTTGCCCCGTCCTCACCCCACCACTCGTCCACTGCTTCACCTCAC